TTGTATACACCAGCCCACACCAGACCTCTTAATGGTATAACACAGTAGTAGAATCCCTATAGTAGTCAGACATGGAAATTTACTGCTGGACGTGAAAATTCTACAAGTTCAGGAATTCACTCTGCGGCTGGTATATACATATTGTATACACCAGCCCACACCAGACTATATATATATATATATATATATACACTCTTATCCAATATAGGGATAGCCTATATCCTCTAGGATTTCTTTAAACTATACACATCCCTGTAGGACATAGTAGAACGTAGAGTAGTTGCAGTCAGATGTTGACCAGACAGTGAATATATCATTTGAGATTTTTCAATATTTTTGAGTTTTAGGTAAATAAATAATTTCATCCCTGATGACTACAAGGTACGGGTCTCTGAGACGTGAAAATCATCCCTTAATACAGACATGGGAAGCTGCTCCGGTAACACCCTATTTAGTAGTAACCCCTTCGAATATAATTGGAACAAGGGGTTTGCGTAACTGTTGTGATTATTTCGACTGAATTGCTTTTCCAAAGCAGATAAGAATAGCAGGGGATGAATGTGTTAAAGGGGTACAAGTGGGTCACGTAAGGAAACACAGTTGATTGTTTCATGGGTTACGTAAGACGGTCGACGAAGGGTCGAAGCATGGATTGAGAAGAAAGGGGTTAAACTGAAGCGAAGAAAAAAAAAATAGAAAATTAGCGGCTGCAATTTATTTTTATCCGTTGGGCTTAATTAAGAAAGAAGAAAGAAACTACCCCATAGGATTTAGTTGTTGCGTCACTCAAACGAATCTGTGAGTCACAGATGTCTCCATGGAAACAGTAGCATGCTAACCACCCCAAATAAAAGACAGGATAAAGAAAGCACCAGTTAATTATTAGGGTTGATGAGAATTGACGATTTTTTTTTTTTTGTAAATTAAAAGAAAACCTTTCAAAAGTCCAGATTTTCCATTCCCTGCACCGTAGCTTCGGCATCGACCATAAAGTATAAATCGCCCCATAGATTCAGAGTGCTACGTCGTTTGACCAATTTCCTGAGTCATACCCACTCCCCATGGGTACCCATGACTACGCAGGACTACGTCTGTTTACCCGTACTGAGTCTTTACGGCTGTATAAGAGCACATACAGACCTATATATACAAGATAAATGACACCCCTATTTCTCGGTCGGATCTACGCAGGTGCGTAACCACAAGAAAGGGTGGTTCTCGAGCAGGTCGATGTTTTCGGTACGACCAGTACGTAGCCGGTCAATACCAGAGGATCTCGTAAGGGTTGGTTGGTAGGAGTCGGCGCGCGGTGGGGGTTGAATGACGAAAGGTGGGAGGTCGGTGGGCCGGAAGTACCCTGCTGATCAAGACATCAATCACGTAAAAATATATTAAAAAAAAAAAAAAAAAAAACCCTAAAACCAATTGCCCCACGTCGTTTTCCGGCCCTCTGGCGTCCGCGAAAGAGGTCAGAAAATTTTTTCGTTAGGGGCTGATCCGGAGTCTTTTCTTAATCGCAGGCTATACCGAGGGGGATGAAAAGTTCTCGATCCCTTCGCATTGCAGGAGTGTACTCCTTACCTGTGTCAGACACGCATGTCCCGAGGATCCTGCGCAGGATCCTTCAGGGTGGTATAGAAAATGTCTTACCACCCCCTCCTGGCCATTCCTTTACTACCCCCTCTGCGCTGCTATTTTTTCTATTCCTTTCCCAGACTGATTTTTCGTCTCCCCCATAGCCCCTAGGAAGCCCAACTTCGCGTCGGGCTTGTCTGGCAGTGCCCTCCTTCAACTTTTTGGGGGTTGCTAGGGGGTTGAAGAAATTTTGAGATATTCCCAAGGACTTCATTTTACAAGCAACCAATAGCTCCAAGTATTTTACGGTTTTACTCAGGCGTCCCTACCGGCGCCTCGTTGCAACCCTTAAGGGACACGACGATATCAGATATACCAAGGGGGGGTTATACTCAGTTGGGGGGGTTGTTTTCTTTTTCAACCCCGCGTTCAAGATCTCTTTATGGCATTATTAATTCCTGCCCTCGGGGATTACCGGGAAACGTTTGAGGTGACGGACTTTTAGTTGAGGGATGTTGGAATGGGGTTGGCACTGCATTGCGCCAATAGGGGATGATTTGGTAAAGTGGCACGTTCTTTTTTTATCCGATCCACTTCTACACCTTTTTGTCGGTAGGCTCTTCTTTTGGGGATTATGCCACTTCGCCTGGCATTATGCGAGAGGGACTGATCTCTCGAACAACCCTTAGTTATTGTTACACCCGATTTCACCCCTTTTGTATTTTTTTTCACGTTTTTTTTTTTCCCCCGTTAACGGAGTCACGCTCGCACCAGCCTTGTCTGCTTTACCTAATTTTTGTCAATAATTTATATTTTCGAGTACGTTGCGACTTATGCAAGTGAAAAAAAAATCATCCCCTAAAATCAAGATACGGAATTTCCTCAACAGGTACTCGAAACTTCGTCTAGGATTGGCAGACCTGGAATACCTACCCCCCCCCCC